AAATGATCGCAGCGATCCCCACGGCCTCAAGGAATACTGACGAGGTTGTCATGGCCATCAGACGCTTAATGGGGAGACGCAAGATTCATATGGCATACAGTGACGAAGCACCAGAGTTCGATTCAGCCATGGCGCAGTTGAAGATCGTGATCGATCATTCCCTTCCAGGGAAACCCAGTAACAATTCACTCGCTGAACGATCAAATCAAGAAGTGATCAATACGGTCGCCGCATCCATGCTACACGCCGGATTACCCGCACAATACTGGTCCTTCGCGCTGAATTGCGTGATGCAGAATCTAAACATTGAAGATGTGAAGGGTGATGGTGATTCCGCGTGGAAACGAATGACTGGAAAGGACTTCGAGGGAAAAGCCATACCATTTGGGGCCAAAGTCTTCTTCAAGCCGACGGATACAAGGCCGAAGACATATGGCAACAAGTTCGATCCAAAGGGGATCCCAGGCATTTTCGCCGGATACATCATCACTGCTGGTCAAGGATGCATGGTCCAAGAAGTATCGCGTATGGGATATGAAGGAGTTTGCCAATGCGAACTTGTCGATGGACGCATCTGTTCCCAGGAAGTTGATGAGACCGTACGAGACAGAGGTTATCTACTTCCCAGAGGAGATAACATTTCCCCTGAAAGCTGAGTACGAAAGGATGAACTCAACCATTGAGGGACTCAGGGACAATGTTGACCTCGCTGGCAAGGAGATAAGACGTCGATGACGGGGACGACGGTCCGCCTGGAGGAAATGGTGGCAACGGGGATCATGATGATCAAGACGGTCTACTTCCTCCACCGGATCCCGGAGAAGATCCTGATTTGCAGGACATAGATCCGTCTGACATTGAGACGGAACCGTCTGGTGAAGTCTTCAAGTCAGCGGAACATGAAGCCATTGATGCCATAGGAGACAAAAGACTCGATGAACTAGACGAAGAGCTAGGTCTACGTGCAGTACCGCCTCCTTCTGAACCAAAGGTTACTGGGGAAGATCGGCGATCGCTCCGCGAAGTCGGTCCAACCGGTAGACTCATCCCTGAAGGAGACATCGAAGAACCTGGAGAGATCATCAAGATCTTGAAAGAAAAGAAGTTGGCTCCTGAGGAGATCGAGCATTGGAGTACGGGAAAGAAAGGGGACGGCATTGTATACCTCACTGATGATGGTGAAGCCTGCAAGATCGATAAAAGGGGAGTCCCGTACAAGATCCGAAGCGACGGTCGACGAACTCTTCCTACACGGCGACCTATCCATTCCTATTCTCCGGAAGCATGGAAGAAAATGAGTGAAGCAGAGAAGAAGGCAGCGTACAAGAAAGAAAAGCGAGACAAAGCTCGAGTTGCCAAGAAGGACCGGAAGAAAGCCGCGATAGGAAAGAAGATAGTCACCAAAGTTTTGGACAACATGATCTTTCCCAAGATTGTTCCATGTGAAGAAATTGATCTGCAACTTAACGTGTCCATTGACGACGACGATGGGTGGTCCTGGGCACAGTCCTATGTGGATCAATACACCAAGAACAATTCTTGGCAGATGTCGTGCCGGCCGTTCCGGCACATATGGTCATGGATGATAACTGGATTCCATCTATGCCGTGTACGACTTCTCACAGAAACGTACATCGGGAAAAGAATCACGCAGGAGGATCATGCTTCAATGCCATGGTCACTCGACCCGTCACACGCAAAGAGATGGTCAACAACCCTAAGGCCATGGAAGCTTTCATGAAAGAATGGAAGGGATTGTGGGACCAAGAGGTGTTTGATTTCTCAACTACGCGTGAATATGACGATGTCGTTGCCGAGGCAAAGAAGAAAGGTGAGAAGGTACATATGGCGCGAGTGCATGGACTGATATATGAGAAGAACTATCAGCTCAAGGAGGACGATCCTGCCAGGAAGTTCAAAGGGCGAGGCGTACTACTCGGTGATCAGGTCAAAGATCAAAATATGGAAGCCGCATTGTTTCAGGATTTGGGGAATTCCCCGGCCACGTTTGATGCCTCACGGTGGGCAGATTACTATGGATGTCTCCCTGGCAACGATGTTCAGATGGCGGATGCTATCCAAGCATACATTCAGGCGAGGTTATCGGGCACTCCCTGTTGGGTTGAACTGCCTGATGAAGCCTGGCATCCATCTGCGAAACGGCACAAATTCCGTAGACCTGTATGTCGCTTGATCAAAGCTCTATATGGACATCCTGATGCAGGTACCATGTGGGAACAACATTGCCATACCGCGGTACAGAAAGTAGGATTCAAGCCGATTGGCGACGAATGGCCATCATTGTATTTCCACCCGCAAATGAAGCTCTTACTCGTCATCTACGTGGATGATCTCAAGATGGCAGGGCCCAAAGAGAATCTGCCTAAGGGCTGGGACATGCTGCGCCGAGAACTTCGATTAGAAGAAGAAACGCCACTAGGTTTGTATCTAGGTTGTCGCATCTCCAAGGGCGAGGCAACGTTGCATGACAAAACGAAGGTGCAGACCGTTACCTACGACATGGAGACGTACCTGGACATGACAGTCAAGAAGTACTGCGACGTGACTGGGTTCGATCCGACAAAATTCAAGACGGTACCATCGCCGAGTCCGGCTGAGGAGACTAAGAATCACCCAGCTCGAGCTCCGGCACAGTCAGGTAAAAGCCATCGATGCACGTGGTGTGGACACACCATGCCTGTTGATAAGGATGGTCGGCTTGTTCCGCCTCCACCTATTCCCAAGGCGCCAGAGGAAGAGGAAGTCAACGAGGCTAATCGCGGTGCACTTGCCCCGCAGGCAGCGAGCATTCTCATGAAGTTGCTTTATGCCGCGCGCATTTGCCGCTTTGATCTTCTGCGAAGCATCAACAACCTCGCACGCAAGATCACGAAATGGACCAAGAAGGAGGATGCTCTTCTTCATCATCTCATGGCCTATGTGCACCAGTCCAAACATCACATGATGATTGGATGGGTCGGGAACTCCTTGGAGGACTCGTCCATCGGGCTGTTTGCGGATGCGGACTATGCAGGTTGTGGAGAAAGTTTGAAATCTACCTCCGGTGCTCACTTGCACATTCAAGGTTCTCACACAAGATTTCCCTTGGCGGGACTTAGCAAAAGGCAGGGGTGCTTGAGTCACTCCACACCTGAGGCCGAGATTGTCGCGGCCGACTTTGCCATGTCACGTCTTGGATTGCCTGCTGTCACGTTGTGGCAGCAGCTTGGAGGTCAAGACCCCAACTTCGTCTTCTATGACGACAACCAGACCATGATCGGGGTGATTCGCACGGGCAAGAATCCGACAATGCGTCATTTGGAGCGTACCCACGGCATCTGCATTGGCTGGATGCATTCTATCTTTCAAGAGGGTTACGTTTCTCTTGCTTATGAGGTCACTGCCAAGATGTCGGCGGACATACACACCAAATCGTTCAAGGATTCCGTATCCTGGACACATGCGTGTCAACTCATCAACATTTTTCCGCCGGCCCTCATCGGCTCCCAGGAGATTATGGATCTGATGCGCCCTACTCATACCCAGAGCACGGATGAGAAGGGTCAACAGCACTACTCGTTCAAGAGCGAGGTGCCCTGTTTTCCTTACACGCAGACGCCGATCCTCCCTCAGGTGTTGTATCGCGCTGGTTTGTCCAGTAAGGAAGGCTTGCAAGAACATGACAGTGTGGACCCCATCCTGGTTGTCAAGTTCCCGCGCATGTTGCGGGGGCCGCCTTCCGCGTTGCCGCCGGGTCGCTACCTTCGGTCGACCTGGATTCTTCGTGAAGGGCAGTGGCACCAAATGGAGGACCGTGCTGCCATCCTTGATCAACCTGGCAAGTTTGACCGCTATGTGGAGCGTGCTGTGTTTCAGTACCATCCTGTACGGGGCAGTTTGAGACCGGCCGCTAGTTCGGAGGTCCTTGCGCCGCCGTTTCTGCCTCCTCCTGCCCCGCCGTTGGGCCAGTCTTATGTGCGCGCCCTGCCCGCCAAGTGGCGTGCGGTGGTTGTCACGCTGGCGCGTGCCATCCATGGGGGGTACCAGGGCTTTACATTACCTCTTTGTTTCAACGGCCTGTCCAAAAGTCAAGCCTCCCAATTCGGCTATGACCAATGGTCGTCAGTGTACGAGGATGTATGGCATGATGCGGCCGAACAGAAAAGGGAATATCAAGGGTATGAATGGAGCAATTGTGCCTCACGTGGTTGATTTCGCCGAAAACAAACCCAAGGAGGGCCTGGTGATCCAATTCCTCGACCACGACGGAGGGTTGGTCCATACTTACAAAAATCCTTACAGCCGTTGGAAATACCGTATCACTATCAAAGATGCTCCAAAGGCAGTGACGGTGTGGACATTGGTAGGAGTCGATGAGGAGAACTGGTGGAATGAGTATGCTCCTGGCAAGGACTGCATTGCGCAGCATGCTCCCGATTCTCACTACGACCCTGGGTTGCAAGTGAATGTTCTGAGTATGGGGCGAGAAGTTGACGACGCCATGTGCGCCTACCTCTTCGATGTGGTGGAAGCAAGGAAAAACAACCCTAACTCCGTGATCTTCATCGGTGCAGGGGTGTTGGGCAAGAATTCGTGGCTGAGTCGGAAAATCGCCAACAACCCTGAAAGGGCCAAATTGCGGACGGACTACCCATGGGGGGAGGTCGTCCAAAGAATTGCGCGCAGAGCGGCATCGTGGGGGAACCAAGTCATCATTGAGGTGCCTCCTCGCGTACAAGTTCAAGGGTCCGCCCCCAGCGTTTGCCCACACTTTTCGTTCTGCAGGTTCATGTCTTGGTCGAGCGCATCCACTTCGAGTTGCACATGTCTTCACGTGCTTTCTTCCAGTTGCACATGTGTGTTCAAGTGCTATGTCCTTGTAGTTCGAAACTTTCAGGGGAGGCTTTCAATTCGCAGGACCTACCGGTGTTGGTTTTGCCAGAACTTAACGTTGCACTGCTCGACTGCTTCCTTAGGGGGTTCTCGCTTCTGCTGTTGCCATGGCTCGCTCTCGCTCTCCTGCAGTGCGTCGCCTGCTCACTCGTGGCACAGCTGGCATCGACGACATCTTCCTGTCGCCACTGACGACAGAGGAGAGGCGACGCTGTCGATGCCTTGAAGCCGAGGGGAAAGACCGCAGTGATGATGAGGATTCCGTGGAGGAGCCTTCGTCCTCGTCTGTGGACGATATGGAAGAGCACACTTCGCACTCGCTGGAGCATTTGGGCACTTCTGCGTCTCAGGATGCCATCCAGGATTACAGCCAAGGTGACGTCAGCAGCTCGGGGTCGGTGCAGTCTGCAGGCGTCCCGCTTGACATCCTTGAGCAGCTGAACGAAGAGGCTGCTCAGCTGGAGGACTTGCGGCGATGCTCGGTGCCTTGCCCTCACGTGAAGCAGGCCCGCTTCAAATGGGGCGGTTGCCCGCACCACGAGCGCAGGAGCTTGCAGCCGCACCTCGTACAGAGTGGTGCTAACAGAGGGCAACTGGTCCTCCGGTGCGCTGCCTTTTGGCGTCGCGGGGGGGACCACCACGAGAAATGCTTTTATGCATATCCCTTCCCTTGGGGGCTCTTCCATAAGTTGCCGGACGATTTAAAGTCTTCCTACGGCTGTGTAGACTTTGCGTTGTCCCGGGGATCCACACGCAAGCCTTCCAGTCGTCGCTGAGAAAAAGAAAGCTTGCATTTTTGCCTGCAGCAGAACACTCGCGTATGCCGCAAGTCTTGGACTTCCCTTGTGCTTTCCGCAGTTCAGTTTTTTGGGGGCGAGTTGTTTCTCGGCTGTTCTTAGGGATACCCACTGGCTCCTGAGTGCGACAGACTGAAATGACGGGCTTTCGAGACCAAGGCATACTTACTTTCCTTACAAACCCTAACCACACCTCCTACACTCGCACTTAGGATCCATTGGGTATAGGGGGTTGGCCATGAAAGGCTCCTTGAAACAAGACCCGGGCCGTTACGCCTCTGGAAGAAAAAAACCTCTGTCTCAGAAGCTGGCCCGGTCTTTGGGCACCAACAAACAGTTCCACAAGCTGGGACTGCAGTACGGAGGTGTCCGTGCCCGTGGAACTCAAAGGCTACGCGACTTAAAGCAAGTTTCTTTTCCGGAAAAGTTTGCGGATGGAGCGAGAAGCGCTGCCAGGAGAGACTTTCTGAAACTGCTTTTCTTTCAACCATATTCTTCTTCTTCTTCTTATTATTATTATTGTATATATATATATATATATATATATATATACACATATGTATTTCGAGGCTTTAGCTTTGGCGTTCTAGGTTCGGGGCTTTTTTCAAAAGTGTTGGTGGCAGCAGGCCTGGCTGGCACGTCAGGGTTTCTTCGGCACGAAGCGACACCGCGAGTGCTGGAGTTGCGGAGCTAGCTTGGTTCCGGAAAGTCGTTCCTTGGTTCTGCGCTGCCCTGCTCGGGCCTGTGCTGCCCACCGGCCCCGCTCCTTCATCGCATGTAGTCCTTAAAGAAAGCTTCTCACATAGTGCCCCTTTACAACCTCAACCGCCTAAACTGTCACATCCTTGAGCTCTAAATCACCCCAGGCATCAACTACACGTTTGGCTACACGCTCGCCTACAAGCAGATGAGCGGGGGACAGGGTCCGGACTGCCAAGGCATAGTCAGGGCCATGTATCTCTTTTCCATGAGGGTTCCTGTGGACGCCGCCCCGCTGCTGGCAGATAGAGACCACAAGTACCTGGAGCGTACCTTTCAGCGCTTCCGACGAGCGGCTGCCTTTCAGATGATGGCTTTCCAGCTGGACATGCGCTTTCCGCCAGGGGTGGTGGAGTTTGATGGAATGAGGAGCTCAGGCCGCAAAAACCGAGCCGAAGGCGAGAGCCATCACCTGGGCCGCTTTCTCGTAGCCTGCCACAGGACAGTTTGTTGTCCGCTGACAAGTCTTTGACCCTAAACTCTAAACCCTTAAGCCTAAACACTGAACCCTAAACCAACAAACGGCCCGTGAGGAGCAGTGCCAACACCGTCTTCCTGCCGCTGCCCGACAAGCGCACGAAAGTTGGAGCACCAGGCCTGACCAGCCTGTCCTTTCACAATCTTTCCCAGGTTCCGGTTTCTAGTCTTTCGGGTTCAGGCTCTCAGGTTGCTGTGTTGAATTCTAGGTTTCAGGCTTTCGGCATTTGGATTTTGTCTGTACGTTTTAGGTTTTGTTTGGGTTTCCATCTTAGCCTGTTCGGCATCGCGACGCAGCCTCTTGCAAGGGTTCACAAACACGTCTCCCGCTGTACGTTGCCAGTGTCTGCAGCCACTAGTTCTGTTTTGAAACCGAACCCAGTCTGCACTTTCCTTTCGCTGCCATGGCCCTGGAAGTTTCAGCAGATTTCTCGCTGGCTCTGGGGGCCGCTGTCTTGACAGCTCTTGACCTTCACATGCCGGACAAGAATGTACGGGACGCCTGGAGATGTTCCCACTTGCTTCGCATGTTACGTGTCACCATGGCCTGTTACGACATTCGTCGTAACCTGGGGCCACACCAAAGCAAGGCCGAGCTGGAAGTTCTGACTTTGGCTGCCCACGTGCTCGCCTGCGTGTTTGCCACCGAAGACAGGCTGATCACACTCGGAGATTGCCCTCTCGCTCCTGTGGTCCCTGCACCCGATCACCAGACTTTTCGTGACCAGGTTCGTGTCTGGGGGGGTGGTGCCTGGAGAAATCAGTTAGACCACCTCCACCAGGAACTCAGGATGGTGCTGCTCGAGCTAAGCCAGTGCAGCGCCATATTCCAGCACAGCCGTGGGCTTCGTCAGCTGTTTAGTTCTTGGCAAGGAGTTCTCGAGGACTTCAATTTGCTCGTGGCCGGCTTGCTGCAAGAGCCCACAACTGTGCGCGACCAGCTCTGAGCTTCCCTCGACGCAGACACGCAAAAACAGTGTTCCTGCACATGTGTATCCAGACTAGCCTGTCACTCCCGAGGCTGTCTTCTGTCATCTTAACAACACAAAGAAAAAGGCCCAACAAGCCCCCCCCTGCCTGTACTAGTGCCCCCTACCTCCAACTCTCGGACCCCCAAGGCTTCAAGAACACGCCCTAACCCAACACCAAAACCAACGTGCTCACCCAGACAACCTAGTCACAAGACTCTCCTAATCCCCCAAAACAACTCTCCACAACTCCGCCCGCCAGGCCCGCCGGAGAGTACCGCAGAAGTGCTGCCTTGGGTCCAGAAGAAACTCTGCCCCTACAAGCACGTGGTGGGCAGCGACCAGTCGAAAGGTCTCGCCAAAGCTTGGCGGACCCTCAACGTGCAGGCGGCCACGGCTTGCCATGGCAAGGCTCACTACACGCCCGTCGTCAAGCTCAAAACATCGCTGATACCACGGCAAGCTTTGAAAAACCTCAAGGCCTGCAGCAGAGCCAACGTGAATCGCAGTACGGTCACCATGGTCGGTGGCGATCAGCGATGTGAGAGCCAAGTGGCATCTTTGAAGCGGATGCTGCGGCGATGCAACATGCTTGGCCGAAGTAGCTCAAAAAGCTCTCGGTGCCACATCGATGGGCTAAGCTCTCGCTTTTTGCAAGAGCACCAGGGGTTTGAAAAGATAGCTGCAGCTGTGGCGGCGTATCAAAACTTTTACCAAGACAGTGTGTCGCCGAAGGATCTCTGGGAGCAAACCTCCTTCTTGGACGCTCAGGCACCCTGAAAACAGAAAAGTAGAACGACCGACTTTGCTGGCCCTGCCGGCATTTCCTGCACTTTCATGTTCAGAACTTTGCAGTTGCGTGACTAAACTTGCCCCACCCCGCAAACAACGATTAACTGCACCCTGCCGTGCCCCCCGACACTTTGCCGCACGAAAGTGTGGGCAAACGTGGGGGGCGCACCCAAGTTCAAGAAACCAAGCAGTACAAGGGACTTCAGGAAGACGCCGTGTGGAAAAGCATCAAGATCCAAGGATGTACTCACGGGCAACGTTATATCTTTCGAGATCCTGTATCTCCCGGAACCGCCGTTGAGCTCGGCTACTGCAAGGATGAATGGGAGTACTTTGCCGCAAACGTCGCGTTGCATCCTAAGTCGTCCGACATGTGCTCAGCCAAACATTCGCACATGACTGATGCGGACGCTAAGGATCGATCTGATAATTGCGAGTTAACCAGCCAAATTTCCAGGAGATTGCTTAAGACCTTGAAATTTCAGGCAATGGGAAATTGGTAGCAATGCCGTCGAAGGCCGGAGGACGAAAGCCTGACCGCATAATTGTTGACCTTTGTGGCATGGGCAATGGCTACGCCGTGTCCAAGTCCACTAAGGGATGCGCTCGCATTACATGTAAAGAGCTGATTGGCTCCAATGCCGACGAGGATAGCCTTGTCGGTGCAATGAAGAAGTCGTGCCGGAATGACCTGCGCAGACCTGTGCTGTTCGTGGCATCGCTTTTGCGATCAGGTGCCAGTCCTGGAGGTAGCGAAGGGGCTTGCGTGGGGGGTGAGAAACGTTCCGGTGGGAAGTACAAAGTTTTCAGAAGTGTCTTGAAATCTCTCAAACGCCTGCTGAAGAAGTGTGCGGAATTTTCCGACGTCTATTTTTCGCTTGACATGCCTTCTTCATGTTCATGTTGGTCTTGGCCAGAGTTGCATGCTCTTGTTTCAAGTGGCAAGGTGACGAAGGTTAAGATTGATGATCATGTTGGTGCTGGTGGCGATGGTGGTGGACGCAGGATCATGTTCTCTAACATGCCTGAGGCGGATCGTTTGATGGTGAAATTGTCTGGGTGCTTGGACCATGAAGCGGGGAACAGCTTGTCGCAGTGCATTGATGTGTCATGGCGGTCAATTGCGAAGAATGTTCGCAGCCTCGTTCGAGCTCATGCTAGTTTCAGTCATGACGCACATGAATCTGAGGACATTGCATGGCAGCAACGTCAGTGTGTAGACGCTGATGGAGGGGCTATTAGACAGCCCCGACTAAGGAACAACTAAGGTCTGACCTGACGGATCGGGGAAGGGTGTCTCTTACAGAGTACCTGGAACCGTGAAGTCGTATAGGGGTAGGTGCTTCTCTCCCACGGAGGAAGGACCGGTTCCCGAGCCATGGAAGAAAGCTACAATGCCTATGAACTGTCCTTCGAAGGAGTGGCCCATGAAGAAGTTTTCCCACCTGGTGGGATGATGCGGACGTTCATGAAGTTCCACACGTTTCTGCAGATGTACTCTGAGGATTCGTCGCAGAGCGTACCGCTCCCGCCAAAGATTACGAAAGACAAAGTGGTCGACAAGGATCTCATCCGCACGTGGGCAGCATTCAAGGCACCACCGCTGGTCTTGCTGTTCACGTGCGCAAATCTGTCGTCAGGAGGGGACCTTTCCATTCGAGTTCGAGAGATCCTCAAGGCTTGCTTATTTGCCGCCCCGGAGGAGTACATGAACAAACCTTATGGGGAGATCCTCGCCATGGTCATCAAATTTGGTGGAGGCCTCAAGCACGTTGTTGCTGATTACGGAGGGAAGTTCCATGCCATCACAAGGTTTATGGTGGATGAGGAAGTGATCCGTGATGATGCAAAGCTGGCTGTGGTTGAACTGGAACAAGAAAGGCAACAAGTTCGGTTCGAATTGAACACCGCGACCAGGAACATCGTCAATGCGGATGTCTACTACAATCTCGCCGTCCTCATCAACTCCGTGGAGACGCCTTACCAGGCCGTGACAGATACAAGAATTCAGCAGTGGTATACGGTGAACCAGGACTACTACCACAAGTTGCCTATGTCAGGCAGAGCACCCGACCAATCCGACTTGTTGGGAGAGCCTACGTTACGTAGGGTGTGCAAGCTGATGTACATGTTCGCAAAGCATACTGGGTATGGGCTTCGAACCTACAACCAGGAATGTGCAGCGAGCAGCGACGGCGCTGCGCCGATCAATGTCCACCAGCTGGCTTTGATGATGCGCACAATGCCTCAGGGCATGGGACATCCGCTCGCCTTTGCGATGAATTCGCTCCAGGCGTTCAGCATTTGTCTCTACGTGCTTCTTCCTACGTATCGTGGGTAGATCCACACAGTGGGCTCCCGCACTACCGATGGACTACCGAGGTGCTCCCCGACTCCGACTATACCACGTATGCTTTCCTCAAGCACCATGTGGAGGCCGTATGTGCAGCTCAAGACAAGAACGGTTTCCAGTTGCCGGAGACGTTCCGTGGCTACGCCTGGAACCAATGCGGAGTCGAATCCGGATACGTGGCCGACTGCGCCACCAAACGTGACACCTTGGGCATATGGGAAGCTGAATTCCAACAGATGAGAGCACCGAGTCCGCTGATGCAAGATGATGGCCTATTTCCGCCCAATCTTCAACGGCATCCTAACTGGGTCTACGCGTCGGGAAGAGTTGCGATGCCTACGGCAAGCAATCTCGAACCGGAAGGAATCGTGCACCCTGAGCATGGAAGGACGCCGGAGCAAGCGCGGGACTCCGCCGCAGAGCCTCGAGCCACTCCAAGCCACGGACCAAAGAGGGCAAGGACGGACGAGGCAACGGCATCGGCATCGTCATCTTCTGCAGCACCTCCTCCACAACAACAGCCTCCACAACCGGAAGAGGAACCAACGCAACCGGCATGGGAGGAAGCTCCGATCCCTGCTGGCGCTCAGGAAAGCTGGTATCACTATGTCAACATCATTGAAAAGGGCTGTCGCTCTGCTTTGCTGGCGACGATCCGTGATCGCGACGAGTACCCGGCCACCATTGACGAGACGCCAAAGTTTGTGGCCAACCACGACGTGGGGACCACGCCTATTCAGCATTACGTCAGAAGACTGGTGACCTATTTGGCAAGGATTCGTTCCGTTTCCCAAAGTGATGACAAAGGTCTCAACCTGAAGGTCTACGTGAAGCTGAACACAAAGGCGTGGCTTCGGATGTACTCACGACTATACCATGCGCTGGCGTTGGTGTCATGCGTGCATCTTCCTTCTCCTCCAATGCTTACCTCGGCAGTGATGATCGAGGCAGATCGCGACCTTGTCGAGAGTGATTCCGTTCCGGAAGAGGCAAGAGTCAACACCATGAACACGCTGAATGGATTTCGCAATAGTTTGGGTATGGGTGGCAAACCCGATGCTGTGACTATGCGCTCTCAGTGCACAATCCTCGTTCAGGACTTTGACATCATCGCAAGAACCAGAGGATCAACGCACACGCTGAGAGAAAACCTCAGCATGCATGGATGGAGCGAGACTCACATTGTGAGCCCGTCGATCACCACAGGTGCAAATTACAATTTCCAAGTTACGAAAGGGTCATTGGAATCGGTGAATGCCACATTGGACGGCTTATCCGAAGAGCAAATCGCAACCGTCACGTTGCACTACCATCTGTCTCTCCAAGCAATCCTCATCGAGAATATGTCCTTTCCGATGAGTGACGTCGGTGACGGAGCGGCAATCCGTGTCAGATTGCAGCAACAGCTCAAGGAAACGTACGTTGACCCTATCATCGCAGCAGGGAAGCGTACCACGCGCCCTCCAATTGTCAACATCAACCACGACCTACGGTTCGTTGGAGCAGCTAGCAACTACCTTCTCCACAAGGCTTCTATGTTCAACGGTTTCCACGCGCTGGGAATGTACATTGAACTGGAGTTGCGGGCCCGAGCATGCGTGGTGATTCATGGATCTTCGTTTTGGTCGAGGATGAACAGCCAGATGAAGCATTCATCGTCAAGCGTGCATTCGCTGTCAGCCGAGAAGCTGCCAGCACCGGACTCTCGGGTCAGGTTCAAATTGGGCTACGCTATCTATGAGAAGCAACTGTTCAGCGAGAAGATGGTATCAGCGTGCTTCGTCGAGGCATCGAGAATCCGCTCATGGGATGAAAGTGTCCGCATTGACACAGTTGCTCACCCGTCGCTCGTTGAGATCTGGGAGGACAAGAGTGAAGTCACCACGTCCACAAAGATTTCGCAGACATGGTTCACGGGAGAACAGCAGCAACAAATCAGGTCCGGTGCCCAGGGCGATACAGCTGCTGAGTCGTCCGCGGTTACTTGGCAGGACTTTGACATCGCCATGACTGTTCCCGAAGCCTACTATGACAACAGGCACTACTGGTTCCGGATCGACACCTACGCGACCGCAAACACTGGCTACGTCAAAGGGAGAGCGTTCTATTGCCCAGACTGCATTGGATGCGCACACACTTCAGCTTTGAAGGTGCAGCATCTCATCAACTCCTTCAACGACTTAGTCGCGTCCCAGAAATACACCTTGGCGTGCGCAAAGCACCTCTATGACCTGAGGCTTCAATTTGTGGACCCTCGCCAGGACATCAAGGAGTTCTTCAAATCATGTGCGGAAGTGACTTACGAAGACATAGGCAAAACGGTTTCTCACTACGGTGGTCTCCGGATTACAGCCAGTCAGGCCATCGAGTACGCGGCATGGGGAAAAGCCAAACAGTTGGCATGGGACAGAGGATGCGATTCCGAAGGGAAGACCTGCTACATCTGCTACTACGATGCCGAGAACTGCGCTTATGCTGGTTTCATGAGAATGCTTTTGACTCCGGAAGAGCGTCAAGAATGCTACAGAGGGTCAGCTTTGCCTAAGGAGGAACTCTTGGGCGACACATTGGAGCTGGCACTCGGGCTTCTTACAATAGCGATGAGGTATCCAAATCATTTCCCGAATTGGGGTGG